AATTGAGGCCGGCTAGATCAGTCATGATCGCAGCCGTAACAAGTACAAATAATTAGTAATTCTCTCATATGTTATTCAGGTTATGTAGCTAGAGGCCGCAGCTGAAGAGCACTCGCGAAAGTTATTGCCTCCATTAACTTCTGCTGTCTATACAATCTTCACATTTGTGTCTGGGAGAATATGCTTTAAATTTCTAAACCGAGGATGTTAATCCTAAACTATCCTGAAATAAAATCAAGTATGAGCAGCAAGCTGTGCAAAAGGGCCTTACTTAGGGACCCAGGGAATGGCGTCTGTCTTGTGGAGCCAGTCGTCCCAATTCACCTCGGTGAGAACATTGGCGTCAAGATGTTTGCTTAAGAAGTCCAACCAGGAACGGGTGGTTAGGGAACGCCGTTGGAAATGATCAAGGTAGGCTCGAAGCCACTTGAGCATCTTAGCTGCGACAAAAAGGAAATAATCAGTTGAAGTACTTCAGACGCTAGGAAACAGAGGCACTGAATGGTAGCTTAAAATTTGGACACAAGTAAAAAACAAAACAGCTTACAGGAGGTTGACAAATAGTTGCAAGGTTATGGATGGACTTTCCAATGAGCGCACCTAAGCTACGCATAAGACATCTACACAGAAAACGTCCTCCGCATACACAACACACAGACTTCGTTTCAATTACTTTGCTGATAAACATTATAAAAGCATCTTGAGAACGGAGTAACAAAGAGGTAAGAGAAAAGGTTGCCATGAAAAAATTTCAGGAAGTGCAAATAATATCGAATCACAGCACTATCACCAAACATAATGTCAGGCCTAGCCATAGGGTAACTCTTACATTAACATCAAGTCCAATGCACTTCAAAATTAGCGGAATTTTCATGGAGTAGGGGGGGGGGAAGGGGCTAGTTATTAGGTGTTGCCAGTCGTTTTTAGGAAGGCAGATGTTTATGAAATAATCATTCAAAATACAAAATAATAACATGACCTTCAAGTAGTGTGACAATATAGCAATCCTATTCATCGTCTCCAAACATGTTAGGTGAGCAATCATGTACGCAACAAAAAAGAGAGAAGAAAATAAATTACGTTTTCCGTATTTATGTTCAAGGAAGTAAAGTAGCATCGAGCCCTTCTGGTAAGGAATGATCGAGAAGCAGTCATCTGGATCAACGCCATCGAGACTGGGTATCAACTTGGTGTAAGGATGACCGGCTTTAAACTGGGCAAGCTAAAATAAGGAATAAAGAGCACGAAAACA